GCAATACTTGAATATTGTCGACAATGGTGGCCACAATTGTTACTCTTGACAGAATTGTCACGACAATAGCGAGAAAACTAAAAATAGCTCCGTCGGAATGTTTTCACAGGAGAATTTTGTAAATTTGTTTATTTGAATATTTCTTAAAACTAAAACAATGCAAATGCAATTATTTCATATGGATTACATAAAAAGTTCAAAGGAATTTCTCATGGAATTGGAGCGGTGGTGACAATTGTTTTTATGAAATAAAACAACCACCAATCTGTCGAATTGTCACTGACACTACGAAAAATGCCGGTCGTTAGAAAATTATCACTGCCACTTTATGAAATAGGCCCCTGGTTTCAAGATATTTTCAGCGTAATATTTTAGAAAATATTAAAAAAAAAAATTAATTCTTCACTCTTATTCACATTGCCTTTTTCAAACATTAATTTGTATGTGTATTAGGGTGGTAAAAACAAAAAGTAAAGTCGGAAGTTTGATGCCCTCACCCCCTAGGATTGTTCTATACAGGAAAAATTATACCACCGTTTTTTTATTTTGAAATCAAAAAATATTTAGAGGTCACTCAAAGCGCTCAAAGTTTTCCATGTATTTTATATGGTAAAAAGACGAGTTTTCGTAGAAATGGTACAAGAATTCTTGAAAATCAATATTTTTGCGGTCGGAAAACTCTGTTTCTCTTCAGGAGACTTCCAGTAACAATACCACATTGTTTATTTACTGTTAAAGTTATTTAATTTGTCCATGCCTGGAGCTTTTCTTGTTTACATGTTTCTTGAGGATTGTCCAGCAGTTCTGTATCGTATTGAAATCTGTGGTGTTTCCGGGCAACTTCGGAGTTATTATTGATTCAAGTATTCCGTTACTGGGTTTGAACAAAAAAGAGAAAAGGCTTCAATATTCTTGGTAATGTTTTTATTCAATACTAAGGGGCAACCCCCATGCCATGGCGCAGAGTGATCTTTTAAAAAGTGACTTGCATCCAAAGGAAACAGAGCATCTAACGTCGACCCTAAAGCATTTAAATTGCAGTTAATGAATGTAAATTCTCTAACACCAAGTAATGAAATTTCACCCCGAACCATATGGCTTGGTGGAAACTTGTATCGAAAGTAATGCGAATGCACCAATTCACACTAATGGTAACCTTTATCTGGCCACTACTGTGTGTATCTCAACATTTGATTGGAATTTTTTTAAATTTTCTCAGCGAAGTGTTTTTGTATAAAAGTAGCTAAAAGAGTATGTTTGTAAATACTTAAATGCTTAATGTCAAAAGTAAGTAAACAATCGTACAAACTTGAGCGCAAATTATTCGTAAGGTAACAAGTTTGTGTTTACGTTTATATGATTGCACATAGATACATATATATGTATGTACATACATATGTAAGCAAAAAAAAAAAAACAGTAAAAAATATGTAGTTGTGGCCTGCAGGGTTGCTGAAGGGTCTCACCTTGACAAGCCACTCGTTTTTTGTTTTCCTTTTGTGTACAGAGAAGAAATACAAAGAAACTTACAATTCTGTGCACTACAAATAAAATAAAAATAGTAAACTTAAGAAAGAAGGAAGCTTACTTCTGCGGTTTAAGCCAACGAAAAATCGTATTTCCACATAAAACTGAAAATTTATGTATACATATGTAAATGTATACATGTATAGAACTCAAATATTAACATTATTAAATAAATATACTAAACAAATCCGGTGAACCACAAAAAAAAAAAATATTTCGCGCAGAAATGCAATGCAAGAATGACATAGTTAGCGACGCAACTGGACACTTCATCGGTGGGAATGTGTCATTTGGTCTGATAAAAAGACATTCCAGTTTGTGGTTAACACAAGAAAATGATTGCGTCGTTTGAAAGATGAGCGATATTAGAATATGACAGCACTATTTCTTATACGTTTGTTTCGACCTGACCCATCTGGCAACACTACGTTAATGCTAAAATTTTCAATTAAGTGAAATATTATTTTTATACCCGAGCGTACTTGGGCACAAGGGTATTGTAAATTTGTCTGCATAACGGTTATTTGTAACAGATTCCTATAAAATCGAGAAAGATATAGTCATAAAGAGGGAACGAATTTTTAGGACCTTAAAAACTATAAAAAAGGCAAAATAAAATGGCGAAATAGGCAGGACCTTTTCCTAGAAATAGCAAAAAAAAGGCAAAAGAAGGCACAAAAAAAGACCAAAGCTGAAAAATAACACTGGGTTACATCAAAAATATTCAGAGGACGCCACTGTCCAATTCCTATATAGAATTGGAATATACTCTATCTATTTAGCAGAAAAAAAGGCAATTTCCATAAAACCGTTCCCTGGTCATAAATATACCAAAATACTCAGAATGGAAAGATAAATCGATTAAGCAATGTCTGTCAGTCCGTCCGTGCATACGATAACTGGAATAAAGCACGAGATATCTCAACCAAATTCGGCACATCGATTGTCTTTATCGAAGGTAGATCCAAATGGCGATATTTTTTTTTTGCATCTTCAAAGAAAACGCTACGAGCTTGCGTCACATCTGAATTGTCAAATTATTGAATGAGAGCCCACTTAACATTCCTTGGGATTTTCGTGACGCACCCGAGTAAATCCACGTAACTGTTTTTTCACATTTTTGAAAGCCTGTAGATCATCCACCCACCGCTGAAAGGAAAAACATCACATGTCCTCTTTTTCTTTCTATCATCTAATCTTCAAAATCCAATAGGTCAAAACGATGATCGAGTAAGTCCCGATTTAGCATCGTGGGCTCCCCCACTATTAGTGATAGCATTGCTATTTAATTCTGGCAACCAGATTTTGTAGAGCCATTTCGTAAGAGTTTGCCTCTTTATAGGCATTTATGCAAAGGCAGAGGATGTGACGAAAACGTCTTCCTACGAATTCGCAACTCAACCAATCTCTTCTGAAATTTCAGCATGAAGGGCATCATGCTAATGGCTCTGAATAAAGACGACGTCGACTAGTTTCCATGATTAATCCTAATTTCTTGTATTTTTTCTCACCAAAATGTTTGGAACAGATGTTGATTTAGTATCAAAACTGAAATCTTGGAATCAATTTTAAACTGACTTGCGCAGAATCCGTTGACAATGCAGTATGTAAGATGAATTAATCCGCTAGGTGGCACAGGAGTCGAGATAGTTAAAAAAAAACCCCGATTCGGTTCATATTTCAAATGTGGATTACCTACATGAAAGGAAATAACTCCTCAAAAAATTTAGCCGATAGGTGGCGCGGCGGTCGATATATTTCGAAAACCTGCAGCTGTGGTTTGATTTAGCTTATAGTTATTTAATATATTCAGATAAATTACTTACATAAAAAGGAATAACTCAACAACAAAAAATTTGCCGGTAGGTGGTGCAGGAGTCGAAATATTTGGTGAACCCATATTAATGGTGCGATTTGGTTCATATTTAGAATGCTTTTCCTAAAATTTTTTTTTAATATTAACTAATTTAATTTATAACTTAAAATTTAGGCAAAAACCATTTTTTTTTCAAGGTAAATAAATAGAGTTTAAAAGGGTAACAAAATGGTATTTTCATATTATGTAGGTAGTGCGTAGTTTTTATCAACAATATTTTTTCACTCTACTGTAAAATTTAACTAAAGGAAGTTAGCAGCTTTTGGCACGGTGGCAACGATATATACATATAATTTTTCAAAATTTATTATTTTCAATAAACAGTTCCAGGTAGAGATGGGCACGGGCCGGAATATTTGCTATCAGCACAAACTCGTGCGTGCATGGGCGTTCAGTAAACTTTCATAAAAGCACGAATAAGCACGAAAAGCCCGTTGCTAATACTACAAATTTAGATAAGCTTTTGTTTTTATACAAAAAAAATAGTACATACTAAAACTCTTTTGATAAGAGAAAAGCAAAAAAATAAATATTTAGAAACCGATATGAAAAATAAGATACTTAGTAGTTTTGGTTACATATCTGTACATAAAATACCTTTCACTTTGTCTAATTCCCAGAAAATATATTATAAAAATCTTTGATGTAAAAAAATTGATTCGCTTAAGTAAATATACATATGTACATATGTACAAAAACACAAAATTAAAAATATGTACATATGTATCCATACATACAAAAAAAAATTAACTCTTTATTTCCGGGCTGGGACCGTAGTGCCGGGCCGGGCCCCACTAAAATACTTATCGTGCGGGCTCGTGCGTGTTTTTTTAAGTTGATTTTGCACTCGTGCCGGGCCGGGCCTGAAAATTTAGGCCCGTGCCCATCTCTAGTTCAAGGCCATATATTTAAACTCCGGCAAAATTTCTTCTTCTTGAAAAAATACTACTTAGGCTGCTTTTGTTCATCAACAGCATCAACAGTTTTTTGCCTCTCCTGGACATTACGGATCTTTTGAGTTGTGACTGTTTTTGATTTAGGGTGCGATATGTACACACATATACATATGTATGTATGTACATACGCATTTATGTATTGCCTTGGCGGTAGCCAGTGGTTATTGGTCGTTACGTATACGTAACGGTGTACTCTCTTTACAAATCCAAAATATGCAACTTGGATGACGGTATAAGGCTGCAAAAAAAGGATGTAGTATGTATGTACATATGTATTACAAAATTTACGTGAGCATACACAATCCCCAAGTCTCCGAGCTTACACATGATGGGTATTTGTTTTATTTACTCATTTGAAGCCCACGGCAAAGTGTGACATTAGAACTTAAGGTTCTTCTTAATACAAATTTCATATCCTTTAACCCGAAAGCTTGCATAAGCAGTGCGGTTCAGCGGTTTGCTGTGGATAATACCATCAACGATACACGCACACGCAGATACATATTTATATAATTTTTTGCAAATTTTTCCACACATGTGGCCAACCACCACACACACACACACGCAATCCCCACAATGTACCCGCAGTGGCAATCTCTACAGGAGTTATATAAAATGCATGAGTCAGTTTTAAAACATACCCTGTGTAAAAAATAATATATTAAAAGATGAGAGTGACACAACAGAGTTGGAAGACATGCTTCCACATTATCCTTTCACATCCGAAACGTGCGCTGGCCAATTCCTTGAAGATTCCGCGAACATACATATATAAACGGCACCGCCTTCGCAATTTAATTCAATTTGATGGTCTGGCGCTGGCCTGTTAACATTCTTCCTAGATTCCGATATGCAATTTTTCGATTTTATAAATAAGCTATTACTTGCACTAAGGTGTTTACTTTTCGCGTACAGGTTAATTTCAAGAAACCCAAACTATTTTACTGTATAATTTTAGGGTTTCAGTTATTTCTCTAAGCTAAAGTATTGTTGTTATTTATTAGCACAACCCCATCGAGGCGTTTCGTTTTTGATACGTTCGTCTGCCGTCTGCCGTTGCCGTTGCCGAGTAGATTTCACCCGTTGCATTTGACAATTAAAACTCGACTGAAATGGGCATCTCTCAGCATGGTAAACATAAGTCGAGTTTTTCCAAACATGCTCCTCGTTATGGTCAACGGTTTCTTTTGACGTCGGCACTTGCCAACTTTGCCATTGACTTCACCCACATTTTGAAGATTCGCTCGCATCATATGGTTGCACATATTTATGTTTATTTATTGAGGCGCATGCTCATGGTGAAATTTTTGGTGGTGAGTTTTTATTTTGTTTATATTTTGCCAAGATTATTCGACATTTCATTTCTTGTGACATTTCCAGCAGTTCGGTCTGTTCGTAAACACAATAACTTGCATTAATTATGACAAATGTCAACAAAAGATGTTCGCTAATATAAAAGTATTTGCCAGTAACTATAAATTCAGAGAGTAGTGTCTGTAGCGCTGTGTAACCTCGGATATCGGCAGATTAGTGCTTGAAAATTTGAGATAACTAGAACTATGTATCTTGGGGCATTGTATACTAGTTTCCATCGACACTCAGCCTCCTTTCTTTCGTGACAACACTGAACCCGATTCTAACTCAAAGTGCCTGTGCAAATCAGTAACAAAGTTCTGTTTGAATAAACTTTTCACTACAGTAAGAAAATTTTAAATTCCAGCTGTGCCGGCTCAGTAATTTTTATTCGCCCCAAGGCTGTAAAATATTACTATCCCGAGCGATTTTTTTTTGGACTTTTGCGCATAAAAATTTAGGAAATCGCCTTGGATGATATTTTTTCTTTCAAATCCTTTTGTGTGCTGCCATGCAAATTTTCGTAATATTTCGCCCATCGAAATATGTTAAAAGTGGGTTGTACTTTTGTTGTTGTATGCGAAAAATTAGAAGGGCTGTTACGCTTATAATAAAACTGCGGGCTCATAGATTTGTTGTGATGCTAAATCCGAATATGCAATAAAATTTATAGTTTGACAGTTGACAGCTGTCAAATCAACTCCCAATTTCTCTAAAATTAAGAAAATCTTTTTGAAAATACCACTGGTTACGTTTTTTGACGTGCTGATCACGAACTTTATGTCAAATTAAAACCTTGACAGTTCTTTAATATTCACACGGTTTCATGGGGCTATTACTATATATTTTAAATCTGACACACCGTAATAAGAGATTGTTGTTATTACAAGCTGTAATTTTATTCTCAATAGGAATGTTTAAATAAAAATCGTTTGTATATTGAATTCCCCTAAAATTTGAAGCAATTCCCCGATTACCCCGAGAAATTCAAAATCCACCAAAATCGGGGAATTCTCTGCCGGTTCACTGTTTCCAATATTAAATAATCAGGGCTATGACAGAACCTTTCGTAGCTTCGATTTTCGTAAAATCTACGGAAGTGCTATGACAGAATCCGAATGGCTACGAACGTAAGTTCGAAATTCGTAAAGAGCCTTCACTGTAATGAAGATTCGTTCAGATACTCTACGACGAGTTTACGCTGTTTACGCGAGTTTCGAAGAAAAATTCGTTGGGAGAACCGCTGATTATTCCTGTGTCTGTGAAAATCATTTCAATGCGAATGATTTTATTACTTGCCCATTGCAGGCAAATATTTTTAAGCGCATGCGTTTACACCAAGCTGTAGTTCCCTTGCCCTGGGAGGTTCCTGTGCCTGAAATGCATGAAGCACACGAACGTTATCTATCATCTGCTGATGCGCAGACGCAAACTGAGTAGGTCTGCAAGAAATAAATAGTTGGTTACAGCGCCAAATAAGAAGAAGACACTCCCAGTTAAACGAGGCTGTATTTGCAAGCATCCATTTCAAAATGTTCACTAAAGGGCAGTTTAAAAAACCTTCAAAAAATTGTTAGCTAAGTCTTCATATAAATTTAGAAGAATGGATGTTTTTTAGAATCAAATATTTAAATAAGAAACTAATAGTAGTAGGCAATATTGAAGTAATTCTTAAAATAAGTATACGTACCATATGTATGTATTTATGCTGATGTGTTTCAATTGATGCTAATTTGTAGCAAACATAGCACTCGCACCTCAAAGGGTTAATTTGTTTGTTTACGGCTGTTTGACATTATAACTAGCTACAATAGAGTTCGAGCTAGTTGCCACTTCTACCTTATTAAATATGTCTTGAATTATACTAAATTGTACAACTCGACAACAATGACGTTGCCTACTGTCGTCCAGAAATAAGTACTAAATCACGAAAATCATCGAAAACTATCCAGTGCTGCCAAGTTGTTCCGTTTTAGTACACCAGTTGAATTTTGGGCGATTAGTTGAAAGGCCGTTCATACCAAGTGATTGTTGTTTTCAACTAAAAGTTGCCTGTAAAATCGCCACACCTAAGCACCGCATCAGGCTCGACTCTTTGAAAGACGAATATCACTCGACACGACACTCGCAATGAGGCTATATTTTTAAATGGGAAAATAACACTCAATTACACATACTAATTACCACCTCTGAACGAAAAAATAAAAATCATAAAATAATCATTAAATGCTGATTTAAATTATTTTACTTATGATTACGGTCCCTGATTTCTTGTCCTTAATTTTGTACAAAGTTTGATTCGTAAGGTTTTTTTTTACCGAAATAGCTGCAGTGACTCAAAGAAGGGTTCACACGTGTTTACTTATTTTTAATAGTCACGAAGTTTTTTAAGCTACATTTTTCTTGTTATGTTTTACAAAGATATTGTTCATGCTTTAAACAAATCTATGAAATATATATATATATATTGTTGCCTTTAATTGTTTTACCTGGGCTTTTTTTTAAATCTGAAAAATCTAATAAATATATTAATTGAGATGATTTACTTTCAGGCTTGGACATTTTCAGTTACTTTGCTACCTTTTAATCTACTATTTGTGAAATTTGCAAACAATGTACCTGCTAAGAAGAAAAAAAACATTGAAGCAACCCGTGTGTACTAAGGATTTAAAAAGCTAAAAAAAAAATCTAAAAAATAAGCTTTATGTACAGTAAGTTCACATTCACTAAGAACCCTTTGCTCTGACGCCCAATTGGCTTCAGTATTTTCTCCGCAGCCAGAACCGGTGCCGGAATGCATACTGAGATAATTGGACGTACTGGGAGCCTTGGGCGTGGTATGATCTCGAGCCGAGCGCCCGGCCAGAGTGCGCTCAGGCTGCCAACCGCGCCCGTTAAGAAGTCAAACGCAAATAACTTTTACGCCCTTCTGCCATCCAGCTCCTTCGAAAATCAGGACCTCCGTGTCGGCTTCAAGCATCAAGTCCATGAGCTTCGCCTCTACAAGTAGCCAGTGTTCCGGCGTTACGCATATCTTCTAGAATCGCAACCCGGGTTATCTACTTCTTGTAATATTGAAATGTAAATACAGCTTCTGAATTTGATTTGATGAAATAGGGTAAAATAGCTGGGGCTTTTTTTTGCAAAAGAAAACATTAGTTTAGATATACAACATGTCTTCTGATGTCGTCAGCACATCATCTCCATAGCGAGGCCCAAATGCCTCTTTTCAGGGAGCACGTTATGCTACAGACGTAGGCACCCGGACAATCAAATTTTTTCGGCAGAACCATCGCAAAGGCACGCCAAAAGGCATCTCTATCTCTACGAACTTAAGGACGAGGTCTAGACATACATCGACCAACCACTGGGCCCGACTCTATACAGACAGGCTTTAACGGCATACACAGGACGTTTGTCTAAAATTACACCGACTCCCGACCTGTGGATGCCGGGAGACCCGCACCACTTTAGCTCAACCTCGACACATGCCCGCGAAACTCAACTCAACTAACGTCCCAGTCCAACAGCGTCGAAGTGGTACGTTTTCTCGGCCTTCCGTTGGTTGAGCTTGACGACAACGATTGAGGGACAAGCCGATTAAGATAGCATTAAGTAAGCTGCTACAACGACAACAGTTTAACAACTCAGCACGTAAGTACAAAATAAATAAATTCCTAGGACAGTAGACAAAGGGAAGACTGATACTCTTAGCAATCGTCATAAGGCAACCTGACATTCTGCTCCCGCTGATTTGTCGTGCTTTCTCGTATTTATTCGTTAGTGATCTTCTCGCTAGACGTTGGGACACGAGCTCTACGCATTTTTTGATGTAACTTATTGCATATGTATTTACTTTGATTAATAAATAGATAGTTTAAATCTACAACCTCTGTTTAAATCCGTACATCAGCATAACCTCTTTAGAGAACTAATACATACTTTTTAACCTATGAAACAGCTTTTATTAACAAATAATATTTTCTTAAAGCAAGCGCCTATACCCTTACCTTTTATTTTCCCAAATCCATCGGTGAGGTGTTAATGCATTTTGAGTTAAACTACATTAGTGTATGATTTTCTTTAACCTGCTGATTAAAAATATCTACTAAAATTCAGGTAAAAGACATGTGTACATATGTTTTAAAATTTTTTAATCCTTGACGTAAATTTTCTTAATAAATAGATACAAGGGCAATTGCATTCATGCATGCGCCAAAACCCACTACTATCATAACCAAACATTCAAAACATATGCTTAATAATATACTACATAGTACGTATGTATGTATGTATGTATGAGTAAACAGCGTTTATGTGGAAATGTATAATTCGTAATCAATATCATCGTATGTAATTGCGCAAGCTATCGCCGTTTATTGACTCGCTCAATATATTTAGTTTTATTTAAAGCGCGATTTCCGGCATTTGGATCCATCATACGTTTCCAATCTGTTTGGCCCACAACAAAGCCTATTGCCCGCATTTTTTCTTGTGCACGCTTCTCTTCGATATCCGCCCAGCGTACCTGCATAAAAAAAATTATAAAATTCATTAAATGTAAGGATATTGGGTATGTTCAGAAATTATTACGCGTTTCTTCCCATTGGTACTGGTTTTGGGCGGCTGCCAATCGTCCACTTGCAAGAAATCCTCCATTGTGGCCGCTTTACGTTTATGCATCAGCTTATTCGTACCATCCAAACGAGCTGCATTAGGATTTGGAGAAAGTTTTTTTGTTAAGACCATAAATCTTGTTCATTTCATATTATTTAGAATTCCTTTATGTATATATGTATGTACATATGTATGTAAATAGCTAACCATAAATATAGCAAATGATTTATCTATGTATTTACCGAGCAAGCCCAGTCGGAAACAAGTGACTTTTATTAAAATCAAACTAATTGAAAAACTACTTTGAAACAAGTGAAGTGAGTAAATGTTTCGAATTTTGATACCCTTTTTACCAAAAGAAACAATTTGTGTCTTGGATGTATGAAAAAGCATCTGTGAAGTGCAGACCTAAAGAGTATTTAAATGAAACATAGTGACTTTAAAGTGTTTTAATCCAGATGCATTTTAAAGTAGTTGGAATCAAATGCAGAGTCGGACAATCGGCTTGCCGCTTGCACACAATTCAAACTGAACATTTGAAAGCACACTTACATGTCTGGCTGTGGCTGAGCGTGCAGAGATGCTTGCTGTTATTTGTTAGCTTCCAGAAGGTGCGGGTTCAAATCCCATCAGAGGCAAAATGTTGAAATGATTTTTTTTTTTTTGGCTTCGAAATATGAAAAAGCATTTGTGAAGTGCAGAACGAATGCGTATTCAAACGAAAAATACTGACATTGAAGTTCTTTAAACCAAATGCATTTTAAACTAGTTGAATTAAAATGCGGAGTCGGATAATTGACCTGCTCCTAGGACATGGCCATGTTAATAAAGTTAGTTGCTTATATGAAAAAAGGAAGAACTCCAACCACTTATAGTTGGTAAAAAAGTACTTTTTAAATTGCTTTTAAAGTAGTTTTATTTCCTACAGGGAAGCATACAGAAAAAAAATTAAGTTATAAGCATAATCACAGTCTGGTACATATCATCCTGCCTGCAAAGGTATATTTTGGTGCATTATCAAATATTTGGGAATTCAATGTATTTAAAATGTTGTTAACGAACAAATGCACTGAAATAAATATACTTTCACAATGCTATATGATCCTAATTGCGATTACCCTCTATATGGTTTATTTTGCAACAATAAATTTTTTAGTTAGCTATTGGTGATTTCGATCCTTCCAATAATATTAACATTTTAAGCAACCATCTCCCCTGACACAGCTTTAGAGAACGTACTCGCTTATTGCTCCCTTAGGAGGTTTGTGGGATCATATTTCCGCGTGTGCTCCCTGATTGCTTGCTTAGGAGGTAAACGGGATTACCCGCCCTACTAGGACATACAATGTTAAAGGTAGTAAACAATCTTACATGCTTATACACAGGAGCATAGGGAGCAATGGGGTGTATTTGTAAACTTGCAAGGGAGTAGTCGCGCGGAGCAATCGTCCGATGCTCCCAAGTTCTAATGGCATATAGTACAAAATCTCACACGTACAAAACAATTTGCAACCTTCTTCTTCTTATTTGGCGCTATAACCGCCTAAGCGATTTTGGCCGAGTTCAACAAAGCACGCCAGTCGTTTCTCTTCTGTGCCAACTCACGCCAATTGGAAATGCCAAGTGAAGCCAAGTCCTTCTCCACCATCGCAGTGAGGGCCTCCCTCTTCCTATGCTACAACCAGCGGGTTCCGAGTTGAATACTTTCAGAGCTGGAGCGTCGGTGTCCATTCGAACGACATGACCAAGCCAGCGGAGCCGCTGTATTTTAATTCGCTGCACTATGGGTGCGTTCAGAAATGCATCAAGCCAAAGCATCAGCCTATTTTATTTCTAAATTGATAATTGATGGAAAGTCAGAAGTCCAAGCCTTAATTTAAGCCTAAGTGGAAAGTTCTACCACCTTTTTGCTTAATTGCGATAGGTACTCACACTTCCCAAAATCAGTTTCTCCTGTTCATCACATGACTATAAGTTTGATGGTCACTTATAAAGGTATAGAAATTTGCAGGGATAGTAGTCGAGGTTTTTAGTTTTAATATAAGCCTAAGTGGAAGGTTCTACCACCCTTTCTTTGCTAGAGCTTCTCAAATATTGCAAAAAACGCGATATTTTTTGACACTTTGACCTCGTTTTTCTTAATATCTGGAGCGGATTGAAAAACCTTATGCTTACGGATTCGCGATCCACCTGCAATCCTTTCGCGACCCACCGGATGTTACCCATGTTTTAGAGAGCGCTTTTTTACGCACTGTGCTGTCGAAATTCAAAAGTATGTACAGATTTGCAGAAATTACTTTCAAAAGTTAAAATTGAAAGGTGTAACCGTCACTGAAAAAGACCAAATCACTTTAGAGAAATAATTTCGACTTACTCGTGCTTGCACAAGCAATTTTAATTTTTTGCTGAAATTGCTGCCAAAATGTTTAGACTGATAAATGACATATGACTAAATTGACACTAGAATGCACATATGATGGCTGTGTGTGTGGGGTTGGAGCATTCAGAACAGCTCTCTGCCTTCAACTTTTATAAGAAAGTCTTATAATAATAATAATAGATTGGCGCTTACACATATGTTAGTGTTTGGCCGAGCTTCTCCTCCGATTTGTGGCGTGCGCCTTGATGTTGTCACACAAAGCGGAGGGACCTACAGTTTTACGCCGACTCCGAACGGCGATTGTATTTTTATGAGAAGCTGTTTTTCATGGCAGAAATACACTCGGAGATTTGCCATTGCCTGCCGAGGGACGACCGCTGTTAAGAAAAAACCTTTTTTCTATATTTTTGCGATGTTGCTTTGACCAGGGTTTGAACCCAGGCATTGTGGAGTGGAAGCGCGCACTGCTTACCACTACACCACAGCGGCCGATAATAATATAGAGATGTATTTCTAAATTTTCATCTTGTGGGAAAACGCAAAGTTTGATAAATTCATACAATTGGTATACCGAAAGACAGATGGAAAAACACATATCTTCGCAATTTTTTAGTCAGGCTGAGCATATTCTAATAATCAAGCTTATTAATTTAATTATATTTCTATATTATTAAACGTGCGATATTGTCATATTTTCTAAGCTAGAGCTGATACAGAAATTGCAATAACAGATTTGAAGGCGTAATTAAAAATTAGGCTAATATCATATAATATTAACCTAATCATCAGAAATGCTATTGTGCAGTGTAATTAGTGCATTATACATTTTATGGCTGTGCGCATTTCAGCATTTTTTTTTTTTTCAGGTTCTCAAAAAAGAAAATTAAACTGCACTGCCAGTTTGCGAGTTTAAGTTCAGAGTTTCCTTAGTAGAACGGTATTATGGAAAACTACCGTTAGTTGTGTTGAAAAAATTGTGAAGTAATATTTCTAACACATATTTTTCAGTTTCTTCCAGTTCAGTACTTAGCAAAAATATTTTTTTAGTTCATGACTAATTTTTATGTAAGGAGTATACATATGTACATACATACATGCATGCATAAATCATCGCCTAGTCTTATACATTTTAGTTTATTCATTGGTGCGCACTTACCTAGACTTTCCGATGTAGTGTCACTTTCCCATTTGCTCTTCAAGAATCCAAACTATTTTGAAAAGTTTATGTATATGTGTAAAATGGTTTTGAAATTAAAAATACGCATATGAATTAATTATGTTCTTTTAAGAGATGTTAGAAAATTCACTGAAGTAAATCAAAAATTAAGAAAGCGGTATTTGCTATATACTGCAACTGCAAGGGTCAATAATATCACTGCGGTGTTACTGCATTTACGGCCGCTTTTTTAAGTAGCTTTTAAAATGTATCTGCCCTTCAAACAAACATATTTGTTGAGAACAAAATTTGTGTTTAAAGAGTAGACCAATTTAACAAAGTACTTGAGAAAACTGCCCTTCAGAAATATACATACATAAATTAAAAAGTACTAGCATTAGCACAGGATTTGTGCCACTCTGGGTTTGGGCTTTGCCAATAGCAAAAAAAAATAATGCTTAATCCAAAAACGCAGCTACTGAGAATAAACCTAGAGCTACTGAAAATCTACCTGGAGCGCTGCCGTGAACTTTTTCTACAGCATATTACCAATATTGTCGTCGATGATGTAGAAACAACATATTTAAAAAAAAAAAAAAAAAACAACAAATTACATACTCGTTTTCAACTTACACTAGTTTCAGTATCAGCAGCGGCTTCGTTGCTATTGCTATCCTCAGTTTCGTTATCTGCTTGTGGCTGCGTTAAACTACAATCATCTGGCGCACCACTATTGCTGTTATTATCCTGCAATGAAAACACATCCACAAACCATGAAATAATACTGTTCCACTTTTTTCTAAATTCGCTTAATTCGGATACCTTAAATCAATGGTTGTATATTCATGAAGTCGAAGAACTTATACCTCTAATACAAAATATAATTGTTGTGTGTATGTTCATTAAACAAGCTTTAAAGTGTTACAATATCTTAAACGCTAGAGTTTCCTCATCTTTTAACAAACTTGGCAAGCGTTAATGCTTATGTGACATTTGATTGTTTTTTTTTTTTTTTTGTTTTCAAAGAGTGCAGCAACATTTCAATTGATGTTCAATGTATCGAAATTTGCAGTTACATAGATAGTATAATAGCACAAATTAATTTCATGTAGATACTCGTACTCGTTCAGTACTATAACAATAATAAATTCCATAATAGATTCTATTTAATTATAAGGCAGTAAGGGACAACAATTTCAGTTATGCAGAATGTGAAAAGTAGTGAAGTGGTGTACCAGAGAAACGACAGTTCTCTTCACTTTCAAAATAATTGAAAAGTGGAAATTTACTTAAAATTTCTACAGTTCGAATTGCTTCCTATTAATCGTTAAATAAGTTTTATCAGAGACAGTGAATAAAAGTTTTTTTTTTAAGAACTAAAAATTCAAAAGACATTGGAAAAATTGTCGCACTGGTTTCTCGACAATACCAATTATATACCCGTTTTATGTTACTCCATTAGCATGCCAGTCCAGTGATCCGTTCCGTTCCAGCGCTGGATCGTCACTCGCATCCATGTCAACAAGCACTGGCATGAAGTGACTCCAGTAAAAAAATGCATGCCAGTAACTGGATTGTCGGTCTAATTTTTAATCCTGGCAACATTGGAATCGTGACGGCCAATCCAGTGGCACATGCGTGTATTAGCAGAACCTGACACAGTGGGGTTGTTGTTCACACTTGCCTGGTTTATCAAGCTAGCTGGTTAAAAATTATTATTGTGTAGTGTATTTTATTGTTGTAAACTGAATGAAAAATATAACCACATAACCACATAACCTGATAGCCAGGCAAGCGTTAAAAAACTCAGTGAATTTATAGGTATGGATATGAAAATATTTACTATAGTTTAAAAATAAAACAAAAATAAATTAATAAATAAAATACATATGTGTGCATAACTACATGGGCGAATGTTGTAAATACAAAACAACAAAAAAAAAACTTATAAAACTACTTATAAATCTCATCCATAACTTTTTGCAACCAGAGTTGGAGGTGGTAGACTAAATTTTGACAGCACTAAGCATTTTACTAACACTAAATATACTCGAAAAAATTAGTAGTATCACCAGCTTAGTTATAGTGAATGATTTTATCACTGCCACTAAAATCTCGATTAACTACAAATAAATTTAAAAGGCGGAATACACGAAACCAGCGTGCCGGCACCATCAAGTGATTATAAATACTTTTTTTATTAAATTCAATTTGGTGGGCCTTTTTTACTGATTGAGGATTAAAAAAAAATAAATAATCATAATGACATTAGGGGTATTCTCGAAATCTCGCACGTAGCACGGATTGTATGGAATGCCAAAATACTATTACAAATTTGGAAGAGAGTACCCCATTGCAAAATAGTAATATACATAGGTATAGCAAGCAGCGAAATTCTGTACCAAATACAATAACAAGATACAGCACAAAAAAAAAATGAAGTGAGCGAAATGAGAGGAATGAGAGAAATGATAGAAATGTGTAGCAACTCCAACAACAAAACAACTAGCACGGGGTTGCATTTATCTTGCTATGCTTTTTTGCATGGGTTTCGACGTTGCATATTTTGCAGCGATAGGAAATGTTGTTTTTGTTATTGTGTGTTTGCAAGTCCGTGCGATCCGTGCTACGTGCAACGGCTTTGCAAGATTTCGAAAACACCCTTTTATTTGTTTTTGATGTTGCATTAGCAGCTGGTACAATCACTCCACAATAAAATACAGGGGCCAATTAATGGCGCCAGCATGCTGGTCTTCTGGCTTCCAGTTTGTGAATAATATGCAATAACTCAATATTTCAATTCAATGAATAGTCTGTTTTCCACTAATTTTAGTGCTGGAGTTCTTTTGGAACTGCCAGTTTAGTGAAGAAAAAAAAATGGTGCACAAGGCTGAAGATTTTTTCACTATTTTTATGCCAACTTTAGAGGAAAATTTTCTAATTTAACTATCACTATGCTTTAGTGAGGCAATGCGCTCTAACTAACTATACAGTGTATTCCGTTTAGCTGCCTATTCGCTTAGGTGCATTTTCCGCTTTTTCATTTTCACTTTTAGCTGCATTTCCGCTTTGCAATCCTTTTCCGTTTAACAGCACTGTTTTTGATTAAGTTTTTTTGGATTTGTACTAAAAATACTTCGCTTACCAGCACTAAAATTTGTTAAAGGTTATTTTTGCTTTCAACAAATTACTCTTTTTGCGAACCTGTGCGATTACCCTAATCTGAAATCAGTAGTGGCGATGAAGAGGCAGAACAAAATAATAATGTGTTAAAGAGACCTAAAATAATTTCTTAAAATTAAAATTCAAGAAAAACAGCATTTTACAATAATAAAAAAAACACAGTTTTTGTTTTTCTGCTTTGCTGCACATTTCGCTTAAGTGCAAAAAATCATTTGCAGTGGAAGTAAATGCAGCTAAACGGAATATACTGTAATTGTAAACTAAAAATTTTGTTCTCTCCGCCCAACTCTGTTTGTAACGCTAACAATTGAGCCTATTTAAAAAGATTTAGCTACATTTATTTTCCATTCATTTTCACTTGAACGACTTTTAAATTTGGGTTAATTTAAATAGTTGACATTTTAGTGCAGTGCTGGAGTGGATCACTGGACTGGCAAGCTACTGGCAGCGGGTCGTCATATCTCAATGTAGTCGTAGCCCAATGTAGTATTTAATTTCCTCATGATTGGTAAAAACCATGATAAAAAAAAATAGAAGGTACTTAGTTTCACTTCAAAGTTTTTTGACGGATACAGCCATTTTTTGAACTTTCAATAAATAAATTTTAAATTAAGTATTATATTTCGGGATGGGAGATTCTGCTGTTTTTAATGGGCCTTAGTCTTTCCCGACCATCCTAGTACCTGATAAGAAAAAGGTAGTTCCACTTTACAATTTTTTACTGATACTGGCATTATTGAAGTTTTAAAATTTATAGCAACTATGATTATAAAGACATGCCGTTTTATGACATTAAATAGTACAAAAAACTGGAAAATTCTTTCCGTGGTAACTTTTATTTGCGTAGTTGTTAAATAAATTAACATAATTATATACATATCGACGCCTGGATAAAAAGATTGTCGTATCTTATTTTCGGCAGGTTTTGAGAAATCTCGATTAAAGTTTGGAATGCTAGTTCTCAAAAAACGAGATGATGGATAATTTAACTAGTTCACTAACTTCTTAAAGTGTTTTATTTTTAACCGACTTCCAAAAAAGGAGGAGGTTATCAGTTCGTCGGAATATTTTTTTTTTTTTTTTATATATGTTACCGCATAACTTTGGACCAGAGGTGGTCCCATACTAATCTGGTTAAGATCCGATCAGTGGATCATGAGATATATATATATATTTTTATATATGAGAGTTGAAATCGGTTTTTTTTTTGCTAAAAATTACTTGTTATTGTTTATTGTTAATTATTTTTAAATTGACGAAGAATTTCCTTTAGTAAAATTTTGTGAATTGTTACATTTGTCAACAATTTTGCAACCACTTTGAATGACTTTTTTACTAAAGTAACGATACTTTTTACTCAGTATCACAAAAACTAAAGGAGATATCAAAAAATGGATAAGGCCGTTTGAAAGATCTTGATTAGTTTAGTATGACTGCATTATTAACTCAATTTTTACTAAATTAATGATAAAATAAATTTTAGTCAATATCTCGGAAACTAAAGGGGATATTAGAAAACTGGTAATACCAATCGAAAGTTCTTTTCTTAAAATATATAACTGCATCTACAAATAAAAATCATCAAAATGGCGCTTACGGCAATCCTTTATCTCGGCGACGATATATACTTTTTATTAATACCTCGTTTCCTGCGGCACTGTACTTTTACCAAAAAGGTTTTTTTTTTTATAACAGTACTAGTAGTATCCATTGGAACAAATAAATAGTCCTTTAGGAAGATTTTCTTCATTGACGTCACAAGCTTCTTCTGGCAGCTTGATTTCGATGGAAATGTGACAATGCTAGCAAAAGTCCAAATTGGCGACTAAAATCATTCGAGTGAAAAAATACCTTCTATTTTGGTTACCATGGTAAAAACTTGACTTTTATTAAATTCACCAAGAAATAACGATAATTCTTTGTTTTTTTATTTTTTAAGGCAAAAAATAAAAGGAGATGGTTTGCCTGATTTTTTTAGCAGAAAATAAACGGTAATATATTTGTTTTTTTTTTTATTTCACAGGAATTGATAATAAAATAAAATTTATATCGACCAGCAAGAGGGGTTTTCGAGATTTTTTTTCGGGACCTTTTCGTCATGTTTTAGTTTTCAAGACTTTTCGGGAATTTTCAAGATTCTTCTTTTTGGGATTTTTCGTTAAGTTTGAAATTTTTTCAGGACTGGATTTTTCCGAGAATTTTATTTTTGCAACTTTTCACGGTTCCTTCCGTATATTTTTTTACATTTTCGCGGGCACTTTCTAGTTTCTTCCTGTTTAACTTTTCGGCATTTTCCCGGGAACTTTTGGATGGTTCGTGAAACTTTTGGGAACTTTCCGATTTCTTTATGTTTTCCTTTCTGGATTACTTTGAAATTTTTACAAGACTTTTCCGAACGTTTTTTGGTATTTTTGCTAGGACTTTTCGTTAACTTTCAAGTGCAAAGCACTTTTAAGTTTTAAGTTTGTTTTTTTATGAATGGCTAGAAAAAAACTACCGATTATTTTCTGCTAACAAGTAATTAACAAAAAAAAAAAAACCGAAATCAAAGAGTTCCCATATTTTGTCAAAATGGACCGAAATCGTCATCGATATGGGAAACTTACGCACATAAAAAAATATTCCGGTTGAATGTAAACCTCCGACTCTTTGAGGTCGGGTAAAAAAAAAAAATCAAACTGTATCTTTTAACTTTGCATTAAAAAATTAAAAGCAGAAAGTAACCGGTATTTCTTGCTTAAAATAATAGAAGTCAAAAAATTACTTAAAAATATTTGGCTGTAATTATAAAAGTCATACTCGGGGTAGGGTATCTGGTTTCTTATTCCGCTAAATTTTCAATGAAATAAAGAAAACTGGTTTTATATGGTAAAATTTTCCAAATAAGTATGTATAATATCATTCCAACCACTCCTTTTAATAGCAAATTTTTAGCAACACGTTAACACATAAGTTATTGTGTATTTTATTAATTGAGGTGTTTACAGATGAACGCTCTTACGCCATCGTGGCTGCTGTAAAAAATTGATTCAGCCACTTACAATATCATTTATTTTGAAGAAATTGTTTCTTAAAACTTTGGGTTTTATACATACATGGATCTGAGGGTCTGAAAGAGTGCTTGATTTTTTTTTTAGGGTTGGAAGGGAAAAAGTTCTTCGTTTTATTTAAGTTTGTACTAGTTTTCCTATAAGCCACATTCGAGTACAATAAGACTGAGACTGCTTGTAAGACGTGAATTTGGGGAAAACTTTTCACTGCGTAGGGCGGACTTACATATATTGATCCTAACGAATATGTAACGTTTTGAGGCTAAATTTAATTATTAATTGCTGCAATCATCTGCATTTACTTTTGGCGGCCTGCTTAATTATATTCATAGTAAATATGTTTTTAATTAATCATAGATTTGGGTATTCATATATAAGTGAGTTTTTAGAAATAGAAATTTTCTATGGATAAGATGAAATATTAGGTGTTAAAATTATTATTTACCATAACCATGTCCTCCGCATCCTCCATCTCTACAAGGTTCTCCAGCAAGGATGACACATCGAGCTTGATATAATGTAGCGGCGTGGGCTTCCAACTATCGATTACTGTCTTAACATCCTTCTCAGAACGTTCATGTATGTTGCGACTCAGGCAGGTCTCCAAATCACAAATCAAGTCAACTATATAAGGCTGTAATATTATTATTGAAAAAAAAGGAAGAAGAGCAAAGCAAGGTAGAATATTTCAAAATTGATTAGTATTTTTATTCCCACCAACCATATATATATGGTCGCGCTTACCATAAAACCCGAGTCTTTTGAGTGACAATAAAATTCATTTAATGTTCGCAACGAATTGTTATTGCAGTCAACTATGATAAAATCGTATAAATTGTCGGAAATTGTTTTCTTAAATGATTTTATCATATATTGCATGTACGTCTCCTCCATTCCGGCATCGTACTCATATAGAACTTCTTTTTTCGGTATCTAAATTGGTTAAATACAACAATAATGTTTTCCAAGAAATATAAAATGCGGTCATTTATTAAGGCTAGCATATTAATACATCACTGCTATACAAAAATCCATTTTTTTTTTTTTTTTTAATTAACAATTTCTTCAACAACGCAACGTCTCCGCCAGCATCGCAACCATGTCACTATTTCGTCACACTTTTGGATTAAAATTCTATCGCTTTTCCATCTTTTAAACAAGTTCTTAATTGATTTTTACTTGTTGAAGTTTTGAAAATTTACAAAGCAACCATGGCAAGTTAGATGTATTTTCCGAACAAAATTTCTTCATGCCTTGGCAAGTTTGGTTGTAAGACACAAACCGGTTTTGGCGTTGTGCCAGTGCATCGAAAACATCTTCGAATAAAAAAAATGCTTGGGGTATTTTATTTATTAGGGGTCTTCATCTAAGTCAGATATAGGCAACCTGGCTCCCAGGAGCTTTTTGCACTTAGGAGCCGGCTTGGCACATTTAGGTGGTATATGAGGGGTAACATCAGAGCGCAAGCATGAAGGGGGGAAGAAGAGCGTATTGAAATTTCTTGTACTCCGACTCTCATTACTATTTAATAAGTGATGAGAGCATAAATTGCTTAACCTTCTGCGACTTATATGGCAGTCTGACAGACGACGAAGGTTCGACATATTTTCCGAGTTTCAATAGCATTGATTACTAACAACGCGTATTTTTCAACATATAGTTTATTTCATTAATTACCAAAATCGTTTGATAAAGTGATAAACTTCGGTTAAGTAGATTGCCATACAAAGTCTGACAGTTCATTTCAATCAAAATGATAAATTTATCAGCTTATCAAGTTTAGATGAAGACCCCTATTATTTTTGAAATTTTGATTAAAAAAAATTTGCATATTCTAAATGTCCAAAAATCTTTCGGTTGCACACCAATATTTTTATATACTCTGTTTTAATCTATTTTACTTTTTTTATTATTTTAATTACAATTTCAGTTTTAATACTTTAAGAAATCACTAAGCTTTAATTTTTGTTTGTTCAATGTTGATTATTTTTTCGAAGTAATTCGCAGTAGCTTTCTCAGAATTTTTTTTTTATCGAATTAGTGACCTCCACACGATAGCGAATACTGGCAGGGATGCTCTTGCAACTCACCTTTTTGCCTGTTTTTGGGCAACGTTCCACGTAATCATTTTCAATCAAAAAATAATCGTCGATACTTAAAACGCGTGGATTACTCCCACCCATTTCGGTCTCCTTTTCCTTAATCAGCCTTGCGACATGTGACTTGCCGCTGCCAGGAGGGCCGCGTAATATTACACACACCTTTTTGGGCCGAGTTAAACGGCCTGGATTGAGCAAAATTTCATCAACTGTTATGGTATTCTTATTTTCAATGCTGGGGAATGACATTTGCACATGTCCGCTGGGAATTGTCGGGATGTTTTCGTTAGCAGCAGCCGTTGAAGGGAATAGCGAACGAGTCGGTGTAGTTGCATTGTGCTGCACTGAACACATCATATACGGTCTATTTGTGGTTAGCATTGGCGGCGGTGGTGGTGCTGGTGAGTCGCTGTCACGGTTGTTTTCCAAATTGCTGCACGATTAAACGGAATCAAGTTATACATACTACACATACTGCATGCATACATATGTGAAACGGAAAATATCTCGAAATCTACATTGGAGCTCGTGTTTGTATTATTTGTTACAGCCATGCGGATCAGTTTAGTTTTATAGAATGCCGCGAAAAATTTAGCAAACAAAACAAACAACTTCTTTGAGCTCTATTAGATTTCTTTCCAGAGACGCTGACTTACTCTTCGTTGTCAGATATTTCTTCGAGTTCTTCATTGGATCCCTTCGGGGAACTCACATTGGAATTGAATGTTTCGTTTGGATTTGTAGACTGTTGTGAGTTCTCGTCCTCATTCTGTTAAGAATTTAATCACATACTTTAACAAAATCTTATTCAAATTATCTATTTGATATTTTTTAGTTAATTATTATTTTTTTTTGTATGTTTCCTCCGAATAAAAAAGGATATTCATACTCTTTTATTACCTCATTTTCGGCTTGAATATTGGCTAGCTGCTGGTTCTCAGTCTGGTCCGAATTGAAAGTTTCTTGCATTTCATATGATTGCGGTGCTAAGAGATTTTGTTGAGCCATAGCATTCTTCTTCTTCTTTTTCTTATTCTTTTTCTTGGGATTGGCATTCGGAGGCATGTTGCCGATTCTATTAGCCGCTGTATTGGACAAATGTCCGTACTCAAATGTTTTCACTGGTTTGAACTCATCCGAAAAACTAGAGATACTGGTATGAAAGGGATTGGTACGCGAACCAGTACCAGGAGGGCCACTAGTACTAGCTCCCTTATGCCCGTAATCGATTACTTTTGGTATAGAAACAGTGCTATTTTGATAATCTATTACTTGGACTGGGCGATAGAAGTCATCTCCATAATCTCTGCTATTTCCTGGGCTGTTTAATTAATTTTGTATTTTGAAAATTTTAAAAATCATTAATGTAGACTTGCAAACACTATAGACATTACCAGCTTAACTTGCAATATTCTTTTTTAGATTTTTTCTGTTTATTTTTACAGTATAACTTGAAACATTTAGAACACACGAACCAAAATACGAACTGTCAAACGCCATGCCTGAATGAAATTGTATTTGTAAATCGTTTTGAAATTACTTTACGATAATTTAACAATTTCTATTCAATGGCGTTGCAGCTGCGCGATATATTTTTAGTTATTTCAAAGGGTCTCTATATTTGTATATCAGCGTTGGCAGATAGCGCGTTTACCCTGTTCCCGTCTATTTAAAATTTATGGAAGCTTAAAAAGATTTTCACGTGTGCTTATGATACATACACACTAGTCGCTGAATACATTTTCATATTTTCTCAAATCACCAAAAGGACCTTAAAATGAATGAAACGAAAGATAAGCTTTAGGCCGGTTTCTTAGTTACATTTCAGTTCATGACTATAACCTTTCACGTCGATCTAAATGGCACATATTTGTTGATCCCAACTGCAGTGATGGTCAAACTCACTCACACCCATTTTGATTATCTGTTAAAACGTGTTTGAATGGCGACACGTCGTGGCATGTTTCGTGGCGAAGAAAAACGCCGACCAATGTATGGGGGGGACGTAGTTCAAGTCTCTCCACGCCGACAGAATACCACTTATTAAGCACAATTTCGTCTGATGAATACATGCCGTAAAATTGGATCTCACTGTACTTTGCCCAATCGACATTGAGCACAACTTTTGCTCCTTCTAAATTGGGAAGGACCTCTCGGAGCCGTTAGATACTAAACAAGATCTTAGAAAAGGCGATTATTCACTTTCTTTCGACTACTCCAATTTGATGTTGGAAAGCGTAATACATGCGAGCTGCAAATCTGAATCGCATCGGCGTCATAAATAGAACAACCGTTATGTGAACAAAGTTCTAATAACCTTGCGCACAAGTGCGCTCGGGTATAAAAGCACGATGTAGCTGGCGTATGCAGATGACATTGACTTTGCCGACAACAAGGTCGGTTGGTCTAAAAATGCACCCCGTATAGTAAAACTGCAAAATTTTTTTGTTTGATGGCAACTCCGTGAGTTGTAATTTCATCCATATAAGGAATGCTTGATTTTTTTAATAATAATAATAATAATAATAGATTGGCGCTTACACATATGTTAGTGTTTGGCCGAGCTTCTCCTCCGACTTGTGGCGTGCGCCTTGTTGTTGTCACACAAAGCGAAGGGACCTTCAGTTTTACGCCGACTCCGAACGGCGATTGTATTTTTACGAGAAGCTGTTTTTAATGGCAGAAATACACTCGGAGGTTTGCCATTGGCTGCCGAGGGACGACCGCTGTTATAAAAAAACCCTTTTTTCTATATTTTTGCGATGTTGCTTTGACCAGGGTGTGAACCCAGGCGTTGCGGAGTGGAAGCGCGCACTGCTTACCACTACACCACAGCGGCCATTTTTTTTTTTATATAGCAGAAAATGCTTAAGAAACTGTGCAGCTTGAAAATTGGGTTTATATGGTTAAAAAAATAAACATTAAATAAAGAAAAGACAAATAGCCAATTCTTGATAAAATGTCGCGTCCTAATTTTTTTCTACCACTATACATGTGGACATTTCAATTTGATCTCAAATAACAAACAAAGCCTTTAATTTTTATATTATGGGTTTTTCAGCAAGAAATTGAGCCACTTGAACCGAACCGAACCGAACCGCGGTTCCGAGAAACTCGTGAACCGGTTCTTGTACCGGTACAAGCTTTTTCTAAGCGGTTCGAACCACTGAACCGAACCGCATCGATTTTTGGATGGGTTTGCAGCCCTGTTTGAATTAAAGTAAATAAAATATCAAGTTAATCTTTTTCTTGCCGTGAACCGGAAGGTTTACATTGACGGTGAAAAAGTTGGAGAAAATCTCTTGAACCCTTGGCCATAGACTTGGGCGTATCACTAATTTAAAATTATAATTTTAAGTTTAAAACGGCTGAGCTTACTTTGAACTGTTTCTAAGAAACCGGCCATAATTCAATGCTTTAACATTCTTTCTTTTTTTTTTGACTTCTTTTTGGTAAAAGCATAACATCTACTTTTTTAAATTTTGACCACAAGAGGGTTAATATCCTTCAAATTGTTTTCCACCTGAATCTGAATACACCGTTTCCAAACGTACATATGTACATATGTATTTCAGAAGAATATAAATATTTACATACAGTTCAATAATTGGTTTGGAATTCTCTTTTATCTAAATATTTTTAGTTAATGTAGTTTGAAATATTGTAGAAAAAAGATGTAAGTATTTAGCCAGAGCACTTTTGAATGCATGAATGATGTTTCCTTTGTAACTTTCAAACGCACAGAAGTTGAGTTGTGTAACTTTAAAAGGAAAATCATACTGCTCTATACACAGTTTGAAATCAGTAGGATTTGTTAATATTTAAACTTATTTCATTATAGATGCTGTTACTGCTATCGTTATCGTTGCTGTATTTAAATACAAAGTGCCATAAAATAAAATCCCGGAATACACCCGAAACAAAACTTCCTCTGGGTTGGCGTAGGGTCCAAATAAGTAAATAGTTCCTAAACCCTATTTTTTTTATTTAAAAAACCGTTATTCTCGAACGTGACGCACTTTATTAATAATATTAATACTAATAATGATAAGTGCGTCAAGTATGATAACAACGGTAAATATTTTTTTTTTTTTTTAATAAAAATAAAATGGAGGGTCCAGGAGCTATAACAATCATATTTTCATGTTGTGCTCGACCTTACCTAAAACTACAGTAACCCCTCTGATTTCATACGATACGCTTGCAAGCGTTTATCGTCTGTCGTATGAAAATTCATAATTGGGCGGTTAATTTTGTTTCGGGTATATTCGGGTATTTAAATACGTACATATTTACATCAAAGCTATTTCATTTTAAAACCGATAAATAGCATGGCCATAATATGCACAATGCATTTTGATTTGTATAACAAATGACTCAGGTCAAGATAATGTTTAAGGTTAGATTTTATTTTTGCAAGTCTTCATTTTGTTGCGCTGTTTTGATATGGAATTTTCTGAAATATCTAATTTTCGTTTATCTGAAATGCATATGTACGGTTGGGAACGATTGCTATTTTTGAGGACTTTTTTTTTAACATTCCTGATTTAAGACTCCGCATTTTTGGAATATATCAGAGCTCCTTTTAACACTGAATTTCGATATTTTTCGCGATATATTTTTTTTTCTTGACAGAGCACGACTAGTGTATGTAACGTTTGTTTGTAACTGCGTAACGGAATCGAGATATATACAAAGATGCGCATAGATTTCCTTATACCATGTCCCCACTGTGAGGATCGCTTATGATTTATGATTTATTTATGATTTATGATTTAATAAATACGTTCACGTTTTCAAATATTTGTTTGCTTGGACATGGAGATCCGGACAGGTATAATGAATGCACCTAGAGCGCAATCGCGTTAAGTGAATTCTTATCATTATTGTATTCTCATTCATATCTAATAAATAAATATGTACATGGGTCATTCCATACAATATTTACAGCTCAATATTTTTTTTTGTGGTGAAATAAATTTTTTTACATTCTTTATCGAAAATAGCGAAAAAAATCCCGAAATTTTGAACTCACGGTGAAGTATCTTTTTTCAGTTGTTCGCAGTTAATAAACTATTTGTCGGACAAAATCAGTTAAGGTATCAAAATGTGCTTAATTACCTCGGCTTTCCATGAGAGTGTGAGAAAGATTAAAATAAAAAAATGTTTGCATTGAAAAAACGCATTTTTTATTTTTCATTTATTTTATTTAACTTCATCATGTTTGATTTTTATTTTTTCCAAGCTGAATAGTTGCCAAACTTTATGGATACGCTGTAAAAATTTGAGAATGTAAACACCAAAACTGTAGGAGTTACGAGTTTTTTCATACATGTCTACATAAATTTTAGTACTCCATAAAATTTGAGAACTATTCAGGTTGAAAAAAATAAAAATCAAACATGATGAAGTCAATAAAAGAAATAATAATAAAAAATAAAAAAATGCGATTTTTAATGCAAATTTTTATTTTTATTTTTTTAATCTATCTCACACTCTCATGGAAAGCCGAGATAATTACGCACAATTTGGTAGTTTGACACAGCGAAGAAAAGTTATCCGAATAATTTTGCAGAATTTAAGAAGAAATATCAAAATGGACTTGAGCAAAGTTTGCGAAAATAAACAGTTTTAGAGATCAGTTTGAGTTTATTTTAGGTGACTTAAGGTCTATCCGCACACATCAGTCACGGCACGTCACAGTTCCGTCAATTCGGAGTAGCAGTCAAAAAAAAAAAAATATCGTTAAAATTAAATGGAACAATTCCGTCACCGAACCGTCAAGTTTAGCTTTCTGCTGAACGATATTTTTGTTTTGACTGGCGTGTTTTTTATATGCCAGAAAAATGTGTGTCCTGTACTTTATGAGTTATCTAATAAAAAGTACTTGGATATAAAAACTATATATCTGTAAGTCCAAATTTCAAACTTTGTGCAAAATTACTTTAGAAAAATACTTCAAAATTGCATCTACATGGGATACATTTTAATTAGAATTTTTGGAAGCAATTTAGGTATGCAGTTCTATAGCGCCCATTAAATTTGAATGCAATAAAGTGTGAAGTTGTGAAAGATTTCGATTATTATAAATAATTTTTTTTTGTATTTTTTATTGCGGTGTTACGCACTTCTTTCCATACACACTTGCACTTTATTATACTAAAATTTAATGGTCTATAAAATTGCTTACCAAATTTTTTTTTCTATAAATTCTAATTAAAAAGTTTGCAGCAATTTAGATAAAATTTTTCTAATTTTTTTGCACTAAGATGGAAATTATGACTTAAGTATACGTTCATTTTATAAAATGAATTTGTTAGA